TTTTTTGAATTGAACTTTAGTGTTGTCCCTGTTTAATTCTAAAGCAATACAACACGTTAGTGTCCTGTTTTAACCAGTAACCTCTCAAGGGTTATGTTGTGGACTTCAATGCAAATCATTTTTATCATCTGTAAACACGTTTGCCGTCGAATGACTCTAGGAAGCGCCAGTAATGTCTTCATTCGCGCTCCAAAACTACTTAGAAAAACGTTGCTCAGCCCCGGTTTTACAATTTTCGTTTATCGTCTCTTACTTTTATTCTTTTGACGAAAGAGAACACGAAAAAAAAGGATAAAGCGTTCGGTGCTGGTCAGTCGCCCAGGGGTGGGCTACGTATTCTCCTTCGTAGTATAGGTGAATGCTTGCATAGTTGGCCTGTGCAATGCTTGGCGGTGCCCTAGTGGTGGATTGGGTCGGTGCTACTCTCATCCCAGACAAGTCTACTAACGATACGAATAGAGGCAGAAAGACTTAGAAATACGGCTTTGTAATATCGACCATGTCTGTAACGCCTGACATCTCTAACCACAATGCTACACGCTTCCATAGAGAAAGTGCACATTCATAACTCAGAAAGCTATCTTGGTTTACCGGTAGGTTTACAGCAGGCCCGAGTTCAGTGGTCCATAGACCAACCTCGAATCATTGCAATTCTAAAGAAGGTGATACCGATCAAACCTTAGTCATCGTAAAAATTTGTAGCAAATTCAGGACACTTGATTACAATAATTCTTACCACGACAACGTTTTATCAGTGTGTACTTACAGCTTTCACCAGATCACGAGCTGACTGAAATTTCGCACAGAGTTAGCATACCTCTAAGGAAGAAACTCCAAGGTTTTCCAGTGATCTCTATATTCCATTTAACCACTGCCACCTGTTTTCCTCCCTCAGGTATAATTCTTCAGTTATTCAAAAAAATTTTTAAACTGTTCACATCTCCTTTCAAAGGTAAGCCAAGAGCAATAGTGGAAAATATCCAGAAAAATTCTGGTGGAAAAGTGTTTGAGCTCATTAAGTCACCACGAACGCCACTGGAACCTAAGCGAAACGGACGCGTTCAATAACAATTTGATAAAAATAATGATGTTGTGGTGATAAGGGAGTTCGAACATTTCTCCCATTCAGTTTGTTGCCCCGCATCTACTACACACGAAATATTTGACACTTGTGTTAGTGAGGATTTTGTCTCCTTTACAATTTCCTTACAGCAGAGGACCTCGCAAGTTTGCGAACCGGAGAATATTGTCTACAAAAGATTTGGTGTAAATTTGTGGTCCCCAAACGGTTAAAGGGCTTGATTTGTCTATGGCATGGTCAAACTAGAGACCATGAGTGTGGAAAACTTATGAAGAGTTAACACATAGACAGTTTCAAACCCAAAACACTGCTCATAGACATTCAGACGGAAAAGCTGATACATATAAAAAGGCCATGGAGGGGGTTATGCAAAACTTCGATATCTCTTTCCATTACTTTCTCGTTCACCTACGATAGATCAGGAAGGACGGGATATTTTCGTCATTGTTCTTTTGCAGAAAATATGATTTACGGAACAGTGCATAAAGAAGAGTCATGAAAGGCAATGTGGTTTTGAAAAGTAGAGTGAGAAAAAAGAAAAGCAATGGAACTATCGTAAAAGCTCTGAAGCTCTCGGCGTTGATCAAACTCTGAGCGATGCGCCATGTATTCGACTTCATTAAGCATCTTTTGGAGGTGATTGAATGCATATCTGGCCTTCACAATGACTAGCGGTGGCCTGCCGATGTATCGAGCCAGTGCTGCTATTCACCCATGGAAGTGTGGTAGCAATTTGCCGACCCCGGAGGGATGGAAGGCTTGGTGAGCCATGAGCACGGGAATCGATTCCAAGTGTGTGTTGCAGAGCACCTCCAACCACTGCGCCACACGCGCTCCTTTAGCTATCGCATCAAAATAAAGTACTGTTTCATCTCATGGAGCCAAAAGAAATTTTCAGTTTTCCTAACAGAGAAGCAGTCAAGGAAACCTTGCAAAATCGTGGATTAGTACACAGAGATTCTCCTTGATAAGTTATACATTAACTTCACAAACTTAATTTTGCCATTTCATGGCGATACCACCATAGTAAGACGCGTGTGGCGTAGTGATCGAAGGAGCTCTGCAACACACACGTAGAATCGATTTCCGTGCCCATGACCCACCAAGCCTTCTATCCGTCCGGGGTCGGCAAATTGGTACCAGACTTGCCTGGGAGGATAGCAGCACTGGCTCGATACATCGGTAGGTAATCCCTAGTCATTGTAAAGGTTAAATATGCATTCAGTCCCCTCTAAGCAATGTTTAATAAAGTCGAATGCATGACACATCATTCAGGGATTGATGAACCCCACGAGCTTTATTTTTATCCTTTTACCACCATAGTGGCTATATGATGGTTCCGTTAATTCAGTTTAATTTTTAATACTCTTGCTTAGCAAACACGAGATGTTATTTTATTTCCTTATTTATGCATAAGTTGACGTTTCGGCAGATTTCGCCTTCCCTAAACCCTGGAAAGGTCAAGTTGACCGCAATCTACCCAGCCAAACACCTCCATAACCAAACAGAGAAGATGCTAAACCAATATTTCAATCACGTTGAACACAGAATAGCTTCTTTGCACACTCACCGCTTTCTATGAGCCTTCAATTGAGATCTGGCTTGTTCAAGAGCATTTTATCGAAATATTCTGCGCCATTCCTGAGAAGACGTTCGAGAAGTAAATGAGAAAAGTGATGGATTATTGACGAAGGTGTGCGGTACTACGGTGACCCATTATACCGTTCATATAAAACACTAAGTAATCGAAAATTTTTTTCGTGTTTCGGCCACGTTTAGTCAGCGAAATAATTGATGCTTAGCTCATCTCAAGGACGATGTTCATGAAAGATGGATCTTCTCCTTATGTCCCATTTTTACTCAATAGACTGACTATACCCGAATTCTTCAACTCTTATGTCTCTGGATCAGGGAGCCAATATCCTGAATATCTCATTGCTAAAACTGAGGATGAGAAAGAAAAAACATGGACTTCGGGAAGCTTAACAGAGTAACAGAGCATAAACAGAAAACGTTTATTGAAGAAGACAAGGATAAGTAAAGAATCAGATGGGGACGACACAGAATTCGTCGGGGAAGAAATCGATGGAGTGAGGCCATTGTGGACTGAATTCCACAAAATTCCATACCCACTAGGTGAAACACCGCCTAAAAAACAAAAATCTTTAGAAAGATTCTGGATACCGATTAACCATGCCCTCTCGTTAATGAGCAAAATCCAACACCGAGAAGGTTGGATGGAGACAGTGATAGCAGCTTAAGTCATTTCACAAACAATAGAAAATCGGGTGATGTTTGTGAACAGCAGCAGCTACAACAATAATACAAATTGCATTACTTTACAATTACTTGCATAGCCTAATTATCCGCCTTCATGAGACTATGGCCCAATTTCCATTTTGGTGGAAATTTACTGGAACAGCGAGGTTTTCTTTCACTGGGAGTGTTCATATGCCACCCAAGGACTTTTGAAAGTGTCACCGCAAGCCGTTGTCCTCCTTTGTGCTTCAGACGGCAATTTACCACCTTGCGATTAGGTTTTCACCAGAACACCGGTGATTTCTGGCATTGATTTCCTCTTGTCAGCTTGTGAGACCACACTAATTCCTTGGGTGTCCCGACATCCACTGTACTTTGATATCAGCGTCACCCTTGGCCGTGTTGACACAATAAACCATTGCACGAATGAAATAGGAAGAGAAAATAAAAACAATAACATAGTAATAACTAATGTGTCTTAACGTTAAATAATTTTGAAGAAAGGAAATTATATTCTTTTAGCATTGTAGTGAGAGCTTCGAAGCCTATTTTGTTGTCTGTCGTCATCACCAGCATGACACGGGCTGTCAAAAAACCAAATCAAGGTGTGTTCAACAAATTCTTCTACTAGTCAGTAAGGAGTATGTGCCTTTACTAAACAATATGGACGATAGCGCATTTTGGCTCGCGTCGCAGTCGCGATGCCGCTCGAATATTTTCCAGCGCGTTTTCGGTCAAAGATCTTTGTTTGGATATAACTTATTTTTATACGTATAACTACGTATAACAACGTTGCCGACAATGGTGAAAGTACGCCCACTTTATGAACACGTAGCAACAAAGCTAAGATCCAATTTAGTTTTCTAGGAGATATATGTGCAAAATTAGTTCCTCCGTGTCCTTAAAATATGCACATGTTATCCTTGATATTTTATTCAACTTTCGCTCATTTTCGCCAAAAAGTGCAGTTAATCGAACGTGGAAGGTTGGTGGGCCTAGTTATCTATGGCGTGTCTGTATTGCAATGAACTTCTCACTGCTTTCCAAACACGCCCATGAAGAAACTACAGTGAGAAAGCCTTTCGTTTCTGACGACATTTCCGTTCATACAGGTTCGTTAGGGTAGGTTGGAATGCGTTATCTTCAACCAGTCTCCTACGGTGGCCAATGTTGGTGGTGACTTTATTTGATTTTGAGACACCAAAGGGATAAAGCTCTCGACGTTGGTCACTCCCTGAGAGTTGAGTCACTTCTGTCAGTCAGTCAGTCAGAGTCATTCGACCCCATTATTAAAGCTGATTGAATACAAACGTGGCCTATACAGTGACTTTCGATGGCCTACCGATGTGTTAATTCAGTGCTGCTCTCCTTTGAAACAATTGTGATACCTATTTACCGACCCCATGGAAGGCATGGAAGGCTCGGTGATTCCGGAGATTAGGATATCACCATGATCACGAGTATATCGCAAGGCACCGCTAAACACTCCACTACACTGACCCATTCCAAAACAGTGCTTTTTCTCGAAAATAATTTCACGTGTTATCACCAACTTTGACTTATTGATTTTATAGTTCCTCTTGTTAAGAAAACTTTTGAGAAAGGAATCACTTTCGGAGTTGAAATTTGGACTTTAGATCTGAAAGCAGGATCCTCAGAGATGAAGACTGAAGCCAAGGAAAAAAAAAAAGAAAAGGAAAAAGAAAAAGAAAAAGCGAAGAAAGAAAAGGGTCAAGCTTCGGAGGTATTTCGCGTTAAAAATACACTTCTTGTTTTGTTTATTTCTGGAAAAGAGTGGCATGAAGCATAGGCACTCAATAGACATATCAAGGACGGAGCAGCGTTCGAAATAGTTTTCCGTTGAGCTATCCTAACTATCTATAGAGCTTCCATCCGTCTTTGTCGCAACAGAAATGGGCAGTACGCTGTGCTCTAAGGACATAATGTAGCTAACGCTTTCTGTATGAGGCCCTATTTCTTCTCTTTATGGTGGGGCGTCGGCGATACGTTAGGTGGTAACGACTTAATCAACCTCTGGCGCATTTCTGGGTACTTAGTTAAACGGTTAGCCTAATAGGGCTTTCTGGAGAAGGTGCGAGGCTGACTTGTTGAAGTCGACGTGATGCAAGTCAGTTCAGTGAGGAATAAGGAATCCAGTTTTTCGTCAAACCTTCTGCTACAAGGCACACGACGTTTAGAACATCCACTAAGTGACTCCAAACCTCTCACATGAGAGGTGTCTGTGACTATGTACATGCAGTAAAAGAAAGTTACATCAAATAATTTATTGCTCTTAGTTTCAAAACGTCTGATCAAATATAAACAGAAAGAATTAGTGGATGCCTCAAAATTTTTCTGACAGCAGGACCCGAAAGCTCGCCCAAAAAAGAAAAAGCCAAAAGGAAGCAAGTCCAAAGATTACGCACCTCTTTACACGGGTAAAAAGGTAAAGCTTATTTTAAAAGCGCTCTACATAAGAATGATAGAAATCGGTTGTTAATACTGTTATTATAAAATTTTTGCGCCCGTGGCCAACACGACATCAAGTCCAGCTATAGCCAACATTCTTAGCTCCCATTTTACTGAAAATTTGTACTGTAGGAATTCAGTGGGCTGTGACAATCCATCGGTCCTCCTTTAGTTAACAGCAGCTATTCAATGCTCTAAACGCACGTTCTATAAATGAGTGTGCCAGAGCTTTTTGAAAGTAAGTCCATTTAATTTCTATTAGGTCTTGTCAAATATCTCAGCGTTATGTTAACCTTTTATTTTCTGCGTACTATATTTTTCACGGCCGGGTATGACGTAAATTAAAACCACAACGATGCTAGGAAATCGCAAAATTTGGACCCCGGGCCAGACCAAACCACGATTTTCCTTTCCGGGGACCCACGCCGTATACACTGCGCCACGGACGGCCTTGCTCTTCGATCCTCTGACTTAGTTTTCTACCTAGCGCTTCGTTACGCTACGCTGAGGCTGTAGTCAAAATCACAATGTTAGCCTTTTATTTTCTGCCAATTATAATTTTCACGGCAGAGTATGGCGTGAAATACAATCATAACGATGCTGAGATAGTCGTAAAACTTCTTCTCAGCCTAACTGGGTTCAACGCCGATTTCTGCTCGCCAGATCAATCCCACTAATGGATTATTGCTAATGGTAGCGTTCGGTAGAGAACTAGCTGAGAAAAACGCAGAGAAAGGGCCTCCGGGCGCAGTAAGTAATGCGCGAGCCCCCGGAAAGGGGAATGATGGTTCGATCTATCTTGGGGTCCAAGTTTTGCGAATATCTCAGCATCGTTCTGGCTATCTCAGCATTTTTTTGTTCTCCGCACCTGAGTTTGCATTTTGTAAGGATCCAAGCACTTACTTCATTCCGTTCGGTGTGTCCTAACTACTGTCGATGAAGGTATTTGAATTTACGTGTGGATGTTCCTGCCACTTGAAGCATTTTTCCGCTGTGAATGTCGTTCGATGAGTTGACCCTCTCTAGAACCCGAGGTCTAACCGGCGACAATGCGTGTATTTTTGCGCACACAATCTCTGACCACTTCCAGTTCCTCACGCTTGCGTGTTAACCTATCAAATGCACCCAAATGCGGTGAAGCTCCTAGAACGTCTACGTAACGGGTCTCCTAATAACGCGTGATGGAGTCCTTCGAAGTTACCGCGCTGGACACTCAAATGCACTTACATGTGTAAATAAAGCCATGAAGAAACACACTGCATAGAACAAATAACTTTACATATACATACACCTCTGAGAAGAATCTCTATCGTAGGAATCGAAGGCAAAGCAGAAGAATGAAAAAGAAACACCAAAAGAAGAAAAAAAGGTATCTACTTTTGCAGAGTGTGTCCAATTTCTCTCTGGTGCTTTTGGTTTATGTGAAGTATTTCACAATTTTTAGCATCCTTATTATTTCAGAATTTTTGCCATCTGTATTTTCTCGTCTTGCAGATTCAGAGCGGAACCGACCGAGTAGGAGAAAAACAACAGAAAGCAGCTTTCGCGGTAGGGAATTCTTGTGACGTAACATTCTCTGCGAAGATCTATTTCCAGTTCACAAATAGCTGGGATCAACTAGTATTATTGGTCCTTAGAGCGCACGTAATTTAATACTGCAGGTCGAAAAAGAGAAAAATCAACAGACCGATCGAAATGCTGAAAAAGGGAAAGAAGCAGAGTCCAAAAGGATAACGGCTCGACAAGCCCCGTCGTCACTTCAGCATTGGGTGAGACATTCTCAAACACCATTGATGACACATAATTTCAACTGATCACTAGTCATTGATCGATCAAGAGGCTTTTTTAAAGTTTTTCCTCTGGATTTGTATCTTGTTCACTCCAACCGTTGTTCAAAATTCACAAAAAAAACTCGATGTTATTTTTTCAATTGTAAATAGTTGTTCAGGATGAGAATCCAAACCAATTCAACGTTGGAAAAGAAGGCAGACAAGTGGGTATTATGCAGAAAGACAAACACTCTACGCACTCTACGCACTCTACGCACAAATTACCTTTAAAAATCTCTTCTCATATTCCTTTCCTTGTCCGCTTTAAGTTCTACACTACATTCGGTGAAACATACCGTATTTGAAAGTGTGTTTCGTAAAATCCTTGGACTCTTCTTTAAACACTACACTAATATTCGACTGGGTACACACCCTGCCCTTAAAAGGAGTAGGCAATAAATAAAAAGGTTAAGACTGTGATTATAACTACAGCCTCAGCTCAACTGAGTTCATTGCCGATTTGGGATCAATCTCGCTGACAGGTGATTGGTGATGGCAGTGATCGATAGAACTAGCCGAGAGACAGGCAAAACGAAGGATTCGCATGGTGTGGTGGTGAATGCGTTAGCCCCTGTAAAGGGTAATAGCGCGTTCGTTCCTAACCGCAGACACCTGCGGTCCGGAGTTTTGCGAATATCTCAGCATCATAGAAGTTATATTTCGCAACATACCTTGGCATTACAAGGAGTAAGCAGTAAATAAGAAGGTCAAGATTGTGGACCTTACATTTCTGCCAAAGGATTCCTATAGTGCTGAGGTAAAGGGCGCATGTGGGGTAGTAGTCGGAGTCGCTCTGCGACACCCATGGGATCGATTCCCGTGCCTCTGGCCCACTAAGCCTTCCGTCCCTCCGGGGTCAGCAAATTGGTACCAGACTTGTCTGGGGGAGAGCAGCACTGGCTCGATACATCGGTAGGTCACTGTGAGTTATTAAAGGTTAGATAAGGATTCAGTCACCTCCAACGATGTTTGGGAAAGTCGAATCCATGACACATCTCTTGGGGATGGACTAACGCCGAGAGCTTTATCCCTTTCTTTGTTTATTGCTATCAAATTCGAAATAGAACCGTTCTAATTATGTAGAAAACCTTTTTTAGTGTAAGCGAAAACGAACATTCACTTTGATGACGAAAATGATTCTTTTGGTGAACTTTTTTATATTTACAGCAACGGACCTTACATGAAACCACTTCTCGGGCGGGTGAAGATCAGCAGCAGGTATAACTGGGTCTCGATATGGTAACCATTTTGTCGGAAAATGTTTCGATTTCAGTTAGAGCTATAGAGATTCACGTGTTTCTTTTTTTTGTAATTCTGCCGGTTTTATGCTATGATTTGATTCAGAAGAAGGATATAAACAAATTAGTTGAACAATTGGCGAAAGAAGAAGGCAAAAGTGGAGCCGCGTCTCCGAAGAGTCTTTGATCGGATTCGTAGATATTCCCTTGCTAGGATGTTTTCATTTCTATCGTTGTTCTGAATTTTTGCTTAAGATATGTGTCAGTTCAATTCCAAATCGTCAGTAATCTCCACCATTAATGAAAAATATAAACATTTCGTGTCATTCGTTTTTTTCTTCCTCTCGCCCAATTTTTATCAACATTCTGGCAAATGAAGAGAAAACAAGGCTCAATATGCTAACCTTTTATTTGCTACATTTTGTAGTTTCCACGGCAGGGTATTATTTGTGAAACAACCACAATGATGCTGAGATATTTGAAAAACTCCCGACCACAGGTGTCTGCGGTGGGGAACGAACGCGCTGTGGGCTAAAGCATTCACCACCATGCCATGTGGGCCCCTCGTTTCGCCTGTCGCTCTGCGAATTCTATGGATCAGTTCTATCATGGATAAAAAAGTCAGCGTCTTGATTTCAGCTACAGCCTCAGTTTAACTTGGTTCAATGCCGATTTGGGCTCCTTAAATCAATCCCGTTGACGGGTGATTGTTGATGGCACTGATCGATTGAACTAACTGAAAGACAGGCGAAACGAGGGACACGCATAGTGTGGTGATAGACGCGCCGGAAAGGGTAATAGCGCAGCCAGCAGACACCTGCGGCCCACAGCTTTGCAAATACCTCAGCACCGTTGTCCTTGAAAAGCTTAACAATTTGGTGAAAAAACCATAGTATTAGTGAAGACCCAACGTATAAGTAAACGTCATATAGATCAAAAACTACTCACAGTGCTGTTACGAGTGGTGCTGCCCACTTGTTGCTCACGTGACATGACGAGCTGGGCCCACCCGATTCAAAAAATCATTTTGAAAAAAGGCGCCAGATCTGTTGCATAATGGTTACAACCGGTAAGCGATATGGTCTATACTGTGAAATTACGCTGTTGAAAGAAAAACGTTTTTGTTTTTCGGCACTGATTTTTGCTCAGAAAATAACCCTATGGTTGAAAGGAGACTGTTCGATTGAACCTTTGTTTAGTTCTAAACAAGCTACCTAGCAGGTTCTCTGTATCTCTAGAACCATTGTTGTTCTCACTGTTGAGTGGATACTTACCAAATAACTCCACTAGAAAAAATGAGCATGTATAATTAGATCAAGTTTCCCTTTAATGCCACTAGAAGTTTATTTCGGTAAATGTGACATTGGAGCGGAATAATGTAATTACCCTGAATGTGCTGGATACGGTTCCAATCTGATGCTGGTTCTTCGACAGCCGATCACACTATCTCAGTCAAACATTTTCTTATTTCGCTTTACATGACCTGCCTTCACGTCTACTCTGGGAATCCCAGCACTCCTCACATTCGATTCGTTTCCTCGCAGCCATCATCCACGAACGTCTTCCAACTTTCACGTGAGGCTTCGGCTGCTGCTTGAGGATTTTCAATTTACCTTAAATGTCGTAGAATGCTGGCCGAGTCGATTCTTTCTGGAGTCCTAAGATGACCGGGCTGGAGCGTTCCCAATTGAATTGCAGGGAGTCATTTTTTCCCAGACAAGTCCAGTACCAATGTTCCGACCTCGGAGGAATAAGAGGTAGGTTGGTCCAGAGAGGAATAGACTGGCAACATGCTCGTGATGACCGACACCACTGTCACTGAGCCATACGCCCTTTCAGTCAATTATCTGGTTTTGACTTTGATTGGATTTCACTCTGGTAAACCTGTCATTCAAACTGCTCGGTAAAAAATGAGCCAGAAACGAAAAATAACGAATTCTCGAATTTTTCTGCTTGGTCGCTTTCTCAAACCCACGTGTGGAAAAGTTGCGGACATTATCCTCTACATCCAAACATTTAGTTATAATCCTTCCACTATGGTTTAATGATCCAGAAATAATATCGAATTACAGTCGGACATAAAAAAGAGAAATCGAAGTGAGAAAGGTAAACTTAGTTGGAATCGTTTATAGGCGCTAATCAGGGTGAGTATGGGTTCCTCACCCAGAATACATAGGATTCATATGAAGGTGAACGTGGCCAGTTTGGAAGTCATGCACCCCTATTAATGATATTTCTCCCATTTGTAATCTAGACGACCCGAATGCACATTGCTCCAGTATAGGAGACTATTGCGGAGGTAGTGAGGTGAGATCCCACCTGTGCCTTTGATTATTTTGCAAGCAGGAATCTCTAAGTAGCGATGTTCATCCGTCACGCTCTTTAACAGCACCGTTCAGATGGACTCTTCGTAAAAATGCAGCGTTTATTTCTTCTAAGGGTTGTGTCCTCACTTTTTTCCTTGCTCTTCAGATATCACAACTCACACTTCATTGGTCTTGTTTCTGCCACACTCTTATAATCAGGTGTTGTTCAGAAATAAATGAGCGTTTTTAACTATATTATTTAAATTGTCATAACTTGCTTCAAACAATAACTATATTCACCTGTATCACCTGTAGTCCGGTTCGAGTGACTTGAGCGGACGCCAGTAAATCTTCCATTTTCCCCAGTCGCGTTCAAGAGTGATCTAGCGGGTTCTGTTCACTCTAGGAACTCGTTTAGCATCATATCTTTCTTCTAGGCTTTTCGTGACGAACTCTTATCATCAAGTCGATGGTCTTCCTGCAGTGCGTTTGACATCCCGAGGAGTCCGTCACTAACGGCTCTTGTCCATCGGTTGTCATTCATAGGCATTACGTGTCCGGCCCACCTTATCTTCGATGGTCTTCCTGCAGTGCGTTTGACATCCCGAGGAGTCCGTCACTAACGGCTCTTGTCCATCGGTTGTCATTCATAGGCATTACGTGTCCGGCCCACCTTATCTTCGACTATTTGTCGTACAAAACGGCATCTTTGATTTTTGATCGTTGACGCAGGTCGCAGTTTCGAATCCCATCCTTTACTTGTGTGAATATCCTAGCATCGCCATTTCGACTGCGTGTTCGGTAACGCTGAGTGATTTTTCATCATGCTTACGCAGCGACCAGGTTTCTGACGCATACGTTAACGCAGGAAGTACCGTTGAGTCGAAAAGGTGGGCAAGTTGGGTGCTCTTTGTTCTCTTCACTATATCATCGATGCTCTTAAAAGCTCTCCAAGCCGCTCGTTTCCTTCCGCTCAATTCTGGAGCTAAGTCATTCATTATGTTGATTTCTCGACCTAGATAGACACAGCTGGAGCATTTGGAGATATTTGTTGTGTTGGGCGTGAACGGGGATACGAAAGCAATCCATTCCTCATGAACATCGTTTTTGTCAGACTTAGTCTAAGACCAATTTTTCCACAGACCTGATGCTAAGCAAATTAAAATAAACGGGCCTCATTCTCCTGACCCCGAAAGTGTCCTCTATTCGGCAGCGTAGGACGAGTGCGGAGAGGCTGCTAAAATCCCAAGGCCATTCTGAACTGCCTAAACCGCAAAGAACTAAGAAGACGGTCTGTACCTACAATGCACGCACACTTGCATCCGAGTCCTCGATAGGAGACTTGATCATGCAAGGAAGAAGGACAAGGTACGACATCGTCGGCCTGGCACAGACGAGACGACGCCACCCATTCAACCTCGTCTATGACACCGGAGATGAACTGTTCCTCGGAACATGCGATAGCAGAGGAGTCGGCGGCGACGGCGTTCTTTTCAGCACGTGTTTGTTATGGTATACCATACATGGCACAGAATGCCATAACAACAATAACAGTATTTGAGCGCTTTCACAAAAGCAGTAGTTTTAAAAGGTTACAGAGGGCGATCATCGACGAGATCATTGACCGAAGTCGGCTGCAAGCATTTGCCAGTACTTCGCGTTTATTTAAATTCATTGAAAACTGACGCCTATATTGGATATATTAGTGCAATCCTGTTGGTGTTATACAACAAGCACACGATAAATATGATTTATGATAGAGCGCGTTGAGCGAAATCGTTAAGGGTATTCTGCAGAACACGTAGGGTCTTTCGGCTAGGTGCTAAGTTCGGGGCGTTTTCAAATTGGCATATTATGATCTGAAAAGATAAAATGCACTAGATTATATACATAGGCCATTCAATACACTGTATAGGTCAAACATGCGCCTAATCACCTCTGCGACTCTAGGAATGGAGTCGAATGCATCGCACTTCCTCAAAAAAAGATAAGGCTCTCGGCGTTGATCAATCCCTGAGGGATGCGCCATGTATTCGACTTCATTAAGTATCGTTGGAGGCCATTGAATGCATATCTGGCCTATACAATGCGGTAGGCTACTGATGTATCCAGCCAGTGTTTCTATCCTACCAGACAACTCTGTTACCAATGTGCCGATCCCGGAGGGATGGGAGGCTTGATGAGCCATGGGCGCAGGGATCGATTCCACGTGTGTGTTGCGGGGCTCCTCCGACCACTCCGCCACACGCGCTCCTGCACTTTCTTAGAGGGTTTTGATCAATGTCCAACATTTCAGTCTTTTTATCCTTTGAATATGAGTCGATAAATGTGAAGCAAACCAGAATTGGATGGGAACTTAAAGTTTATCCAACAGGAAGTTCAAACTTCACATTCGCAGACCAGACTTTCGAATTGTTAATCAAATTTCTATTGTCGACACTAGCAAAACAAAACCTGGTATTTCCAGAGATTTATAGAGCTAAGTGAAAATTTTTGACACTTAGAGACATTCAAACATTTCCACAGATATGTCTGATATCGCACAACCTCCGCCCAGACCGTGCATAACCTAGGTCGACTGAATTTCGTTTCAGATGGCCGTAATCATCTTTAGGTCGTTAACACAAACAGAGCTATTTCTGTGAAAACTACGAATCTAGTGATCAGTGAGCAGGGCAGCGTCACTGATTGAGTGCAATGTTACAGGCTAGCTATGCAAAAATGTCCACATTCTCTAGATCACATCTTGATTTAAATTTGCTTACGGGTTAGGGTATATTCGAGAGTTCTACGACTACTTCCAATTATAACCAAAGAAAACGGAGGCTATTTATAGAGCGAGGATCAAATACAAAAATTTGGTAGAATTTATGATGATATCGCATTTCTATGAAATACGGTGATTGCTCTTTCTACTAACATTACTTCGTCCAGGCTCACCAAACCCTGAGCCTTTCCATGATCGGAGAATTGGTGTCAAACTTGTCTGACATCAGCCTACTCCCTCCAGTTCACTTGGAAACGTGCTAGCACACCTCTCCCAAGATTCGATAGAGAATCAACTCAAGCAGCAGCGGAACGCAGACGCAAAAAAAAACGGAAACTTTCGTGGATAATAGACGAGAGGAAATTAATCGAATGCAAGAAGCACCGAAATCCGCGCAGTAGATTCGGACGCAGTCCGTCTTAAAAGAAGTGCATGATTTTAGAAATCCTGTTTGCTACATCTCCATGGAGAATTTCAAAATTCCTAAATTTCATGGATCCTTAGATTTCATCCCACTCCACACCCCAGTATAAGCATATCCATAGAAGACGGTTAGAAGATAACGAAACGACTTTCATTTTCGCGAAATATTGGAGCCGAAAACAACAACGCTACGGTGGTGATGGTCCCTTTGTGATGGTTCCAAAAACTGCGCTCTCCATAAAGTTCAAGAAGGTTGATGAGATATCGAAAAGGCGAAAAAACTTGATAGATTGGCATAACTCCTATTACGCTGGCACCATCCATCCTTAATACATGGCATGAATTGAGACTCTGAGCCGTCTGTATAGCATATTATGGCTCAGTGAAACACTGTAGTCAAAGAGCTAACAAAATTAGATCTGGGATTGGAGTGGGCTTTGTCATTTATTGTGGCGCGTGTGGCGTATCGGTCGGAAGCGCCCTGCAACACACACGTGGAATCGATCTCCGCGCTCATAGCCAACCAAGCCTTCCATCTCTCCGGGGTCGTCAAATTAGTACCAGACTTGTCTGCGAGGATAGCAGCACCGGTTCCATACATCGGTAGGCCACCCCAAGTTATTGTAAAGGCCAGATATGCATTCAGTTCCCTCCAAACGATGCTTAATGAGGTCGAATGCATGGAGCATTCCTCAGGGATTTATAAACGAGAGCTTTATCCTTTGTGAGCTTTTTATCACTTATTTGAACCACCTACATGAGTCTATACCTAGTCATGCTTAAAACAGTAAATACGAAAAATTTATCAGGCAATAACAGTATAATTTTCCGACGAAAAGCCTTACTCATAGCACAGCACTTCAACACAGATCTAATGTCAACCATTAGTGCACGTTCTGTTAAAGACAGTGTCAACAAATTGTTTTGCCTCTAGAGTTAATATTGAAAAGTTAAAAATAATACGGTAGGATCATATATCTTTTAGAACAAGCAGTGATATGGCTTAATAGCATTAACAATGATTTCTAGATAAAGACTGAGTGACTACGATGTCGCTAGCGAAGAAGTTCCTACAGGTGGCGTTGTTTTTTGCGATTTACTTGATTCGTCGTCTCCTTCCGTCTTTACAAAATGTGCAGTCCATTGCTCATTTCCCGGTTTCGTAGCAACACTATGTCCACCTACTTTTAAATCAGCACTGTTCGCGCCTCCGCCATCATTTGTGAGCTTTTTCCTAGCTCCAATCGGAAACGACGTTTTCGCAAAACCGTAATGTTTTGGTTTTTCACTCTCCATCGAAAGATCTGTCACTTCTGCGCTTCTTTGCGTTCTATCGATGAGCCGAACTTCCATGGCATTTGTTTTTGCTGACTTCGTATCATCTGATCTATTAGCTTTACGGGCTTATTGCTTCGTACTGGATTCCTCTTGTTTAGCACGGCGTCTCGCTGCGCATTCTGCCATTTGCCTTTCGTTTTTTGCGATCCTTTCAGCTTTCTTTGCCTTTTTTCTTTCTTCTTCTTCTTCTTGTCGTTTTACTTCATTTGCCATTGTAGCATACGTCGCATTTCTTTTAGCCTGAACAGTGCTCACTGACTTTTTTTACTTGCGGATTGTTGAAACTTTTATGGCTTAAATTCTTCGGTTTTACTATTGACAACGGGCAAATGAGATATAGGAGAAAAGAAGCCGAGAGTGAGCTGTTTGACTGCATAAATGGCTCACAATACCGGCAATATGTCAAAAATCGTTTCAAATTCCACTCCAAGCCAACACTGCGTTCGAGTGGATCGGAGTGATGAGGGTGGGAGTGGGGGAGTTCATGAATTCCAGTTTTGTGAGATTGCTGAAGGTAAGATCTAATCCTACCGTTCCTACCAAAGCCGAACCTGTCACCTTTTAAATTTATCAATATACTGCGAAAAGGAACACTTCTAAGTTGACATGTACCCTCATAACCTCCGCAGACTTTTCTCCCGACAAAATCGACATCTGCTGCATCTGGAAAAGAAAACACAAAAAATGAAACCGAAAACTAATGTGAAACATTGGAAGGCTTTGGCCATTTGTATGTTTCAACCTTCGTAGTGATCTCTAATAATTTTATGACGTGCAAAGAAGAGTGGCGTGTTAGTTATTGGTTAGCATTGGTTAGGGCTCCCAAGACACTGTCGCCAATTTTCCAATCCCATAGAAAGTGAGGCTTGTCTCGGCGCCAATTTGCAAAACCGAACCAACGACCACATGTTTATTCCGGAGGATCTTTATCCGTTGTAGCATAAGCTACCTACTCTCCATATGATAAATTATGTCAGACCAGAATTCATCCTATTAAAGCTAACGAGATTAGATAGCAGTTATAGTCTCAACAATCTTACTCCTTCTAGCTTTTCTATATCGGATCCTATCTCAAAAATTTCATTGTGCTTCGTGTTGAATTGAACTTCTTTGAGACTGAATAACTTCTCGCCGTCTAAGGCGTGTCTCTGCAAAGAAGAAATGTTAAAAACAATTATGGTCCTCCAGTGAAGAATTTAACCCGAATCGATGGAAAACCAACAATTCGTCCTCTCATTCTTGCTTGCATAACTAACAGCCCACGATCTTGAAATTCGTTCAGGCTTATCATTTCGTGGTCGATTTTCTGCGGAAACTTTCCAACCTGATAAGATAAAAATGGGCAAAACATCTCAAACGAATGTCGAAAACGAGCTGCACAGCCTTGAATGGCTTGTGTTTCAGTGAAGAATTTCCAGTTTTGATTCGCTGTTGGTTCTCAACATTCTTACCGAAGCATTTTGATCATCAGGAACTGAGAAAAACGATGTGCAAAAAACCGATTGAGATGATAAGAATTATCAGCGGCGTTCCAACTATGTTTTTGTGGCCCAGCCTTTCATTCATTAAGTGGAACTTTTAAAACTGAGAGTATCAATAAATACTTGAGCAGAAGAGAAGCTTGTGTTCTTTTAGAAATATACCAGAAAACTACTGAAATGAGATATCCTGCTGCTAACAATGCTACCACTAGCCCGATAAAGAGCAAGTTACTGGAAAATTTTCCATCTGTTAGACGCATTTTTTTGAATACTTTGCTTTTCTGTGCAAATATGATTTGCCGATATATTGTAGTAATTTTTTCTTGTATTCAGTAGTGAACAACAAGGTGATACGGAGCGGCTAGAAATATGTTACAACACGTGTCGTCACTGCGGCGACGTCGCACAGGGACAATCGGGCATACAACCCTCCAGAAGCTGAAAATAACTAATAGGATTGCATGGAAATACAACGTTTTAAGCTTAATTTACTGCCCATTCTTTTTCACAGCAGAGCATTTCGTGAAATACAACGATAAGCAGCTGAGATATGAGCAAAACTCAGAATCACAGGTGACCCACGAAACATCGGTTACTTTTTCAGGAAAACTGGGCAGCAAATAAAAAGTTCACAGTGATGTTGACCATAACTTCAGCTTAATTGGCCTCAATGCCGATTTGCCTCCACCCCCACCCTTACGTTCTCGGATTATTTCCGTTGACGGGTGATTGCTGGTAGCACAAAAAGCTGCCTGAGAGGAAAAAGCAAAGCAAAGGCCCCGGTTGGTGTGATCGATAACAGATAAGCACCAGAAATAGCAATAGTAAGTTCTAAGCTTACTTGGAGTGCTCAATTTCACTCATATCTTACCATCTTTGTGGTCGTCTGAAAATAGCTCCCTCGGATGCACATAGGGCAACGACTGACTATAGCAAAGGCTTTGAAACGATCTATTAAAGTCATTTTAAAATTTCAGGCAGAATCAACACAATGGGCATTCAACGACAACATCCATGAAAATAGCAAAACCTTCAAATGGAGGCGATAAAAAAACATGAAATGCGAAAGAATTCGTGGATTTCATGAGCGACAATGAACCGAATGAAGCAAGTGCTGGGACCTCCACTATATGTGAGACATACGATTATCGTATGTTTTCTATGAATGATTTTAGCCATTGGTTTTTTTTAATACTTTTCCCTCGGTATGGATCCAGGCAGAGTGCATGTGGCGCAGTGGTTGGAGGCGCCACTGAGACACACACGTGGAATCGATTCTCGAGCCCATGGCTCACCAGGCCTTCCATCCCTCCGGGGTCGGCAGGAGGATAGCAGTACTCGCTCAATTCATCGGCAGGCCACTGCGAGTTATTGTAAAGGCCAGATATGCATTCAATCGCCTCCAACGATACTTAATGAAGTCGAATGCATGGCCCATCCCACAGGGATTGATCAACGCCGAGAGCTTTATCCTTTTCATCCTTTTTATGGATCCAGGATCCATCCATACCAAGTGATCAGCTCTTATCTGTCTTTTTTTTTTATCAGAGTCACTTTTTCGCATTTACAATAGCATAAGAAATGTGGGAAGTACTGCTTGAAACGTATCACTCGTAGACAAGATTCCTGTTTCAGCGTTCTAAATTTTATTCCACCTGAAGAGGAAATCGTTTGGTGGTCATTTTAAATTTTCTTAGGAGTTATTTTGTTCTGCTTATTCCGAAACAGACAACAGCCACGTTCTGCAGACGACCGCTGACTGATGGCTGACTTGGTCATCTGGGAGCACGGAATCGAAAAAATGACGTGTTGCAAAGAGAAAAAAAAGGCGGCAGAGGGTTCAGAAGCACGAAACACTGTGTCGAAGACGCACTCAAGGAAACTGATGGAAGTTCAGAAATTTTGTCGAAATGCCCATCCTCCCAGATTGCTCTGGTTACTTTTAAAAGCAAATGCGGACTTTAGGTTGTAAAATTAGCCGTTTTTTCAATGCTTTGTACTTACAAGATTTCCAGAAGCAAATCCTACTGCAACCAAAAAAGTGCAAATAACAAGGTGTTCTGTCGTGTAACAAACTATTTTTACAATATTGACTTTTTGTTTACTGCCTTTTACAAGTTTTCACGGCAGAGTATTATTTGTGAGGCAGCCACAATAATGCTAAGATATTTGCAAATCTCCAGACCGTAGGTATATATCTGCGGTGGGGAACGAATGCGCTATTGTCCTTTCCGGGAATAACGCGTTCACCGCCACAACATGCAGGCCCTCCGTTTCTCTCAGCTAGTTCTATCGATCACTGCCATCAGCAATCACCTGTGCTTTTTAATATATACATTTACCAATGTATCAATTAAAATTCGAATAAAGAGGAAAAGTCTTGGATACAAACCTTGTCGGTAGGATTTCAAACATAGATAATTTGCTTTGTATTTTTGTTGAGCAAACGCGAGGTGTTATTATTCTTTGTTCACGATTAAGCTGACGTTTCGGCGGATTTCGCCTTCCTCAGAGCCTGGAAAGGTCAAGTTGATAGCAACCCACTCGGCCAGACGCCTCCATAACCAAACAAAGAAACTCTAAACCAAGATTTCAATCACTTTGAACACAGCTTTGCAAACTCACCGCTTCCTATGAGGTTTCCACTAAGTATGTCACGTAGAGACCAACCGCACAGAAATCACGTGGAAGTATAATGTGCCCCTCACATCAGAAAAGCAGTTTTATATACTGCCCTATATCACGCGTGATAATGAGGCATTCTTCCCTGCGGTTCATTTTCGAATTTCTGGAATTAATCCAGAACGCTTCGAAAGTTTTGCGCGCGTTTGTTCTCGGTTCATATCTCTGGGTCCTATGCGTGCCTAGTGGGTTATAACGGGGAGGACTCTGTCACGATTCTCGCATAGGAACCGAACTAGATGATGACGCTTAAGATTACTCGGTGGTATTTCAACTACGCTCACCGAATTCTCTAAGCCCACCCTTCTTAAGCAGCGTTTTATAGTTGTACTTATATCATCTGAGATGAAGGGTAGGATAAACGGGACCCTTCTATCGCTAGAGTTGTCGTTTGGAGGCCTACGATTTCCTCTACACCTATCCTGAGCTACAGTTTCGTAGCCATTAGAAATGGCTATTTGCCGTGCCAAGTTCCGGGACTCCTCTCTCTGCTCTCTTCCCGTGCACACGTTGGTTGCTGTTCGAAACATGTTTCTTATAAGCGCCCTTTTCGTGTGAGAGGGGTGAGAGGAGAGGTAATGAACCAAGATGTTTTTACTACTTGGCTTTCGGTACCACTTTGTAATGTACAATAGATAATTTGGACCCAGATCTAGAAATGAAGTAGTGCTAACTTTTCTTGAATCTTAAATATAAGGAACGTTTCTGTAATTCAACTTACGGTGAATTTGGTCTGTATGGCTCATTTGGCTCACCTGGACCTCCTGTTAACACAGAAGTAAACGGATATTTTGC